AAGCGGCAGCGCTCGCTCGCTCGGGCGGGAGCCGCGAAGGCGGCGGGGTTAAAAGCGGAGAAAACGGGACCCGCACGCGAAGGGAGGCCGGCTCCGGCGGTGCTACCAAGCATGAGACAGACACAGTTTAAGAAAAAATTTACTAATCCGTTAGTACTTCCGCCAATATTGCAACAGATGTGAAAGGCAAACACTGTTACAGTTTAGAAAAAACAAGTTTTATACAATTAAAGTATTAAACAAATTTAAAAAAAAAAAAGTGGCTGAGTAATAAGCCTGGAATTCCAGATCCAGTATTAGCACCTACGGCACCGCCAACAGCCAAAACACGCCATCCGCGCTGCGCAAGTCGGCGTCTTTAAATTCTCGAATTCCTTCTACAACTGGACAATGACGCTTAGAACCTAAACCAGGACAGCCTTGCTTTGATAAGGGAAAAGGATACAAAAGAAAAATATTAAGCCAGCTTGGTTTGTAGGAACTTTACTTCTGCACGTATTGCTGAGGAATGTGGATGCACGGGGATGCTAACTAGCGCACAGTTCTACTGCTCAACAGTGTGCCAGCAGACAGAATTAAGAAACCATCTCACACAACATCTAACAGTTCGTCAAATCAACGTTTTCCTAAAAATCATATATAATAAATCCATAAAGAAACAGTTTTACACTTCACATTAATCAGAGTAGGGTAGGAATTGTTATGTTTGTTGGTTCAGCATCCATTTTATTGTACTTACTGTTTTATGAATGAATAGACCCCCTCTTCTGGTGAGCTCTGACAGATGCAACAACAGCACAGATACAGTAGTAGAAAAAATACCAGTATTGAAGTCCAGCTATTCCTCCCCCTTCTAGGAACAACCAAAACAGTAAAACAAGTAACACTTTGCCTTCTGGTTTTCCACGAGAATCAGCACGGGAAACGTAAAGGCGACGAGCGCTTGAGTCACTTCTCGCCAGGCAGAGGCACTGCGTATCCCCTCGCTCCGATACTGAACGGGAGGGAAGGCCTCGTTTCTGGAAAATTCCCAGCTCTGACTTGTAGCTTCCAAAGCCCGACTGACGTACAGAAGGGAGAACCAGGGAGGAACAGCACTGCGCTTATGTGACTAAAACTAGACTTCCTCTGGGCTAAGCGCCCCATTGCTTTCAGAAGAGCACGTAGCTTTACCACTTCTGCTTTTTCTTGAAAGAAAAAAAAAAAAACCAACAAAAAAACCCCAAAACACACACCAACACAAAAACCCCCCAACAAAAAAACAAACCTAAAAAGTGATCTCATTGCTTAGAAGTTTGCCACAAAATGGATGCTAACCAGCTAGGCCACCCCATGTGGAGCAGTTTTAGGAAGTTAGTCCTTGTAGTAGATGGCACTGTGGATCTGGCAGCAGAGAAAGGAATGATGCTCTAAAGTAGGAGGTAGGGGAACTTTGATACAGCAAGTCCACTGTTGAGCTATCTGCTGGAAAAGAAGTTTCATATTATTAGAAACTATTACTAAATAAAACCAACAAGCCCCTATGCAAACCTTCACATAGCTGTATTTTGCTATCTCAGGAGGTACGCAGCAGGAAAAGTAGGGTTACCACATGCTGTGGCCAGAGTGGCAGGAACAGAAGCCAACACTATGGATTTCAATTGTCTAACAGGAAATAAAGACCTTTACTTCTTTGTTTCTTTCTGCATAACAGGCATAAATATTTCCAATCTCTTTTCTGCACACATTGCCGACAACCTAGACTTAGACCACCATCCCAGGATCTGCAGAGTGCCTAACACTAGGGAACCAGTTCAAATTTGAGCGTTTCAAAAGCAAAGCTTAAAGAAAACTCAACAGGTATTTTGGAAATCCGGGGACAGTAATTTTGCACTTCGATACTGCACACAATTAGCATGATTCTCTATTTTAGCCTCTCTCTTTCAAGTACCCTGAGCACCCTTTTCACATTGTGACTCTGCCACACAGTACTGTGAAAATTAAGAGCCTTTCAGCAACTTCCTCCAGTTAAAGCCACCAAAGCTAGAGGTTGCTGGCCACTCTTAACTGAAAGCATCACGAGTAAAGGTAACGAAGTAAGAAATGAAGCAGCAGACAGCTGAAAAACTGCAATAAAAAGGTTTTGTATGCTAGAATACACTCAGGGACAGAGCCATACAAAGACTTTTTTTTTTCCCCACACTGAAAACTATTGGGTAGGACAAGATCTCCAATACAGGAGCAGATCTCAGAGTTCCTCTGGATTGATGTGGATGTTGCAAAGACCACTAGAAGTCCTAAGATATGCCCCCTCTTCCTAGCCAGAGCCACATCCTCTACCACTGCACAGGACAGAAAGACAGGCTACGCTTTGTAGAGCCCACGTAGAGCCTGCAGGCTCCAAAGGACTCGGTTACAGCTGAGGAGATGGATACCTAATCAAGACCCAGTTCCAGACCAGACTTACTTGGGTACTCATACTGCTTTCAGAGCAGATGTTTACTGACCACAGGTACTTGCAATTCATCAAACTATCCAGAACTTCACAACAGAACTCTTTCTTCATTTTAGAAATGTCAGTTGTTTGAACACTGACAGAACTGGCTTTTATGTAATTGCTCAAAACCCGTATCACCTACAAAAACCTTCTGCAATGACTGCTCTGAAACGAGCCATGACAAATGGCTTGTGCAAAATATGTGCAGATGCAGCTGATAAAACACAAACTTATTCCAACAGCAGAACACAAGTGCCATGCAATACAACAGATTCCCAAGTGCTAATAACCAGATAAAGAAGGGTATTTTGAGACAGAATTGGCATCTGCAAGTGATGCCAAGTTAACAAGCCAGAGCTTGTTCACCGTTCTGCTTTACCAGAACTTCTTGTCATGGTTCACTCCAGCTTGCAGTAAATTAATCTGGTTTATATGCTCTGTAAACACGGGTCAATCACAAGCACGCTACTAGGACAGCACTGTGAACTGCTTGAGTATTTCTCTCTTCTGTTACTACTCTGAAAACTGGAAATCCAAACAAGCATTTAAATAGTGACCTACTTTAAAGTGAAGATTTTAGGGTTAGTCTTAAATTTGTCTGCTCAGAACCTGATGACAGAAAAACTTCAAGAGAATAAAAAAAGATTTTTATCTACAGAACGGTGAACAATTTTGGACATAATACAGCACAAAACAGCTTCACTGCATATTTACACAATCAAGGCCTGAATGTCTCTAAATGTAAGTTTGGTATCATCTGATCTGTATTAACATTCAGTGGCATAATGCCAAGTATTGATATCTCTACTTACTCAGAAAATGTAGTCCACACAATATACATGTGAACAGCCTCTGATTACATACAGTGGTGAGATAAATATTCTGTCTCAGTATGACAGAACCTACCCCTCTGAGCACAGAAAACAGGTTGGGATTGATCTAGTATAAGGTTAACATGTACCTGAGACTGCACAGTTTTATCTTCCGCTGGTCATACCTCTGTCTTCATAAATGGTAATTTCAATCTGCACAGAAAAGCTGTTAGGGAAACATACTACAAAGACTATGAAAACAAAAATAAAAGTGGAAAAACATGAAGATATTAGAACCTTTGATCTTTCTGCTTCATACCTGCTGTTTCAAGGCTAGTTTCAGAGCTACAAAGCAAAGAGAACAGGACATGCAAGGTCAGATCAGTGGTCTATCAAGCCCAGGACTGTTCTGGCAACAAGACCAGAAGATGCTGTGCACGGAGCGTTTGTAAGCCTTGCCACCTTCTGTTAAATTTCAGGAAAGGGTACGCACTAGACAAAAGTTAACACTTCTGCAGTTCATCTAAGTCACTAACCAAACTGAAACTGCTTTTACTCAAGTTGAGTGTGGTTTGGTTTTTTTTTAGGTGTATGCATAGAAAAACATGGAAAACATATTGAGAATAATTAAGTCATACAGGTGACAGCTATAAGCTATTTAGACAAATACACAGATAACCCAGCTGCACGAAACTAGCCTTAATGTGCATTTAATTGGCATTCTGTGTTTCAAGTTGCTTCGATTTCAATATTCTCAACAAATGATACGTGTTACACTTTCTACCCCTAGATTTGCCATAAGCAGTCTTTACAACTACTAAGGTAATAACTAGATAAAATGCCTGCAGTGTGGTTCAAGAGTTAAAAAAAAAAAAAAGTTAAAATAAGCCATGCTAGATCCAAGGGCAAGTGCTAGGCTGGCATCAACTTATAGCGATGTCACATGGCAAAACCTTCACCAGAACCTGAGCCGAGGGTTGCAGATTAAACAACAGCTGTCTCTTGCTTTCACATCATCAATTTCTATCCTACCAAGTTGGTCACTTTTTTCCCAATCAGACAAACTGCATTTTTAGAGGTCACTGAAATAGAGGAAGCACCTGAAGTGTTCGAAGTACTCTGTTGATACATACTGCATTTTCCAGGAAGTCTCAAAGGACTGATTCCAATACTGCGTGTTCATTGTCTCTTGATGTGACAAATCTTAACGTACTAAAATCTGACAGTACACGACGGAGGTTAACGAGACGAATCATGTATTCTGCCACACCACAGATCAGGCATGACCAGAGGGTGCCATACTGAGATAAACAGGTAGCACATCAGAGGTGGACAAGCCAGGAGACGATCTAAGAAACCACAGAAGGATACAACTCTGAGTCCTCTTTCAATGGGGTCTGTCAGAAGGAGGCCCTGAGGAGCATAGATCTTCTCGTTCTGTTCCTGAATGAACTTGGCAATTTTCTTTAGAACCTGGTAATAGAACAGCACAGAAGTCACAGTTTCTAAAAAAAGCAATGTTAGGAGACCCCACCACACAACTGGAGGCAAGCAATCCTTACGTTACTCAAATTGACTAACATGGACCAGTCTAATGTATATGTGAAATCACTCTGCAATAAGATCCTGAGTCTATATGGAATTTGTACGACAACGGAGCAAGTCACAGAAATGCCACCAAGAAGTAAGTCTTTGACTGAAGTCTATGAGACATACTGCCTTCCAAGTAACAAGGCACACAAAAGCAGCACACCTTTTCATAATGCGTTTCCATGCACAAGAAGATGGTGTAAGCAGTCAGACAGGCGAGACACCCTTCAAGGTAAGATTGGCCCCCAAGTTTTTCAGCTTCTGCATAGAGGTTATTCAGTGTCCGGACAGTCTCTTCAAACTGCTGCCTATCAATCTGCAAGAAAAGTCAAGTTTAGCTGTCACACCCTGCACATTTCAGAAGTCATGGATATCTTCAGGTATCTTCCTTCATTTATTGCCTATCTGCACTTCCGCACTTCGCAGCCACTGTATTTAGGGCCAAAGTCTGAAGGAAACTTTGATTTACAGACCTGTAGTTCTTTATTTAATATCTGCCAAGTTATTAGACCAAGTTTGAATTCCTGTACGAATGTGAATACAAAACAAGTAATGTAAGTAAACCAATGTGCAATTCAATTGGAGAAAAAAAAAGCTTAATTCACACACAAAGAGATCTGCTAGATTTAAAAGAGCAGTTAGGGAGTGGATTGATGGAGTTAAGTCTTAATATCAATAATGCCTTGCTGCTGCTGCCATGCTGGTCAAACAAGCTCTCAATAAAAACAAAACAAAGAAAGGGGGAAGAGAAGGAAAGTGCAACAAGAAAAAGTAAAGGCATTAGCAAAGAGTGTTTTGCTGTCAGTTGAGGATGTTACATCTGACAGCATCAAACAAAATTGGAGTACTTGAGACAGTACTTGTGAGGCTGCTGAACAGGCTCAGCTGAACTGGCTGGTCTGCACAAGCGGGGACTGTTACTGCACCACAGTACAACAACGCACGCTTTATTCTCAGCAACACAATGCGCACATTCTATTTTACTGCTACGAAAGACAGCTGCCTTCCTCGGGGCTGAAGAAAGCACAAGACACCAGCATTTCATAAACACCGAAGAGAAGCATTTTTAACTATTTTTCATGCGGCTTTTCACTGCAAATTAGGAGTATTTTCTTACCACAATTCATCAGAAGTGCCCTTTGGACAACAAACAACGCTTTTATGCCAAAAAAATAAACAATATCCAAAGCAGGATGTGCCTTTAAACTTTGAAATCGTGCCTCCCTCATACTACGCACGCAGGGGCGAGACCTCAGCACGGCGCCCTGGGCAGAACTGCTCCCAGGACAGGGGCACGGCGGAGAATCCCCACCTCGCCGAAAGGGCGGCCTTGGGTAAAGGCGGGGGGTTCGTACGAGGGACCTGCCCGCTCCAGGAGGACGCAGAGGGGGCTTACGGCCACGCCGGTCTGCCCGGCCACTCG